GTAACTGCCCAGCCAGGAGCGAATAGATGGCTCAAAGCCAGGGCTTTCACACTCAGGTCATCAGGTCTAACTGACAGGCCCAGCCCCATTCCAGGCAGTATGTCAGGCACCAGAAATGAGCTAAAGAGGATGCAGATGGGTTGGGCCCTGGGTCTATGGCTCTGTCAGAAGTCAAGAAGCGAACCACTGCTATGATGTAAAAGTAATAGTGCTGATAGGCCAAAGGGCAGACGTGATTGTAGGAGAGTGTCCGTGAGCAGAGAAGTCTTGACTGAAATTTCTCTGGTGGCATTGGGAGGCCAGGAGGGAGTGGGGTGGTAAGGGGTGACGGGGGCCTGTGGGCGGGGCAAGTGTTAATGAAGGGATAGGATTTCAGGAGATTGGAAAGCAAGCATTTGATGCACAGGAGACTCTAGGAGACAATTCCAAGGCACAAGGAAGATCAATTGTCCACAATTCCTGGCTCCTACAGAAACCAGTTGTCGAGTCAATTCCAACTCATCGTGACCTCATGTGTTTCAGAGAACTGTGCTCTATAGGAATGTCTTGTCTCTTCTTTTTTTAAAACTGTGTTTTAGGTAGAAGTTTATGAAGTAAATTAGTTTTCCATTCAACAAACTTATACACATTTTATTTCATTACATTAATTGCAATTCCTTCAACATAACAGTGCCTTCCTGCTTCCTCCCTGGGTTCCTTGTTTCCATTTGTCTTTCTTTCCTGCCCCTTCCTGCTTTCTTAGCTTTGCTTTTGGGCAAATGATGCTCTTTGGTCCCCTACGGTTGATTATTCTGAAGAGTATGTTCCTTACGGTGTTATTGTTCACTTTATAGGCCTGTCTGTTGTTTGGCTGCTAGGTGATCCCCGAGGGTGGGTTCAGTTCCAGGTCTGAAGGGTATCTAAGAGCCACAGGCTTGGGGGTTCCATCGGTCTCTATCAGACCAGTAAGTCTGGTCTTTTTTTGCGATTTTGAATTTTGTTCTACATTTTTCTCCCACTTTATCCATGACCCTTTGTGATCTCTTTCAGAGTGGTCAGCAGTGGTAGCTGGGCACAATCTAGTTCTTCTGGTAGCAGTGCAGGGGAGGCTGTGGTTTGACAGAGATTTCAGTAGCTGATTTTTCAGAAGTAGATTGTCAGGCCTTTCTTCCAAGGCACTTCTGGGTGGATCTGAACCACCGATCTTTAGGCAAGCAGCTGTGTGCTTAGCCATATGTGTCACTCAGGACCCATAGGAAGGGAAGCAGAAAGCAATTGTCCTATTGCTCAACAATCTAAATATGGTAGCAATAGTTGTTATTAGGTGCTGTTGAGTCAACTCCAACTCCTAGCGACCCTGTGTACAACAGAATGAACCACTGCCTGGCCCTGCACCATGCTCACAACCTTGCTGTCCTTGAACCCATCATGGCAGCCACTGTGTCAATCCATCTTTTCTGAGGGTCTTCTCCTTCTTTGCTCTCTACTTTACCAAGCATGATATCCTTCTGCAGGGACTGGTCCCTTCTGACAACATGATCAAAGCTGGTGAGACAAAGTCTGGCTATTCTTGCTTCCACGGAGCATTCTGGCTGTTTTCTTCCAGGAAAGATTTGTTAGTTCTTCTGGCAGTCCATGGTATTTCCAGTATTCTTCACCAACTCCACAACTCAAAGGCATCAATTATTCTTCGGTCCTCCTTATTCATTGCCCAGCTTTCAAATGCAATTGAAAATATCATGGCTTGGTTAGGTGTACCTTGTCTTCAGAGACCTCTTTACTCTTCAGCACTTTAAACAGGTCTTTTTCTTTAAATTGTGATTTAGGTGAAGATTTACAGAGCAAATTCACTTTCCATATAGCAGTTCACATATACTTTGTCTTATGACATTGACCACAGTTTACCACAATGAAACAGCTCCCCTCCCACACCCTCCCCATAGTTACCTCTTCCCTGTGTCCATCCCTCCATGGACTCCTGCCCCCTGAGCTGTCTCCCTGTGCATAAACACCC